AAAAGTGATGGTTTGTAAAATATCTTTTTTTTTTTATTTTAACAAAATAAAGGTTCTAGGTGATAATTTATTGGTCATCTATAATTATTTTCAGATTAAATGAGAATACCATTTTAAATTTTCTTCTTACCTTTTTTTTATACAGATACTTTTATTTTGTAAGAAATTTAATTTTATTATATTTAAATATTTTATTGTAATTTTTAAATTAAAAATAATTTTTGGAAAATCATATTTAAATTATTTTATGCCATTATAAAATGTAATTTTTTTAATATCAACTTATTCGATGATCTATTTGTAAAAAGTGTATTTGCTTTTGTTTATTAATATTATTTTTTCAATTATTCTTATTTATTATTAAAACAATAAATTAGCAAATAATTTTATATGTTCATATATAAAATTTTGTTTTGATTGCTCATGTTAGTTAGTATCTTTGCTCAAGTCCATTTGAATTTATTCAAATTTTATATTAGTTCTCACCGAATTAAAAATTATGTTACATATTCTTTTAAAATTTACAGGTTTGACTCGAGTTGTTTGGGTTCAACTGGCCCAAATTTATAATTTTAGTAAGGGGGTTAAAAGTTACATTATTGAAGTTGTGACAAATTAAAAATTAATACATAAATTGTGATAAAATTATAAAGCTTAAATTGTAGGCTTTAATATATATTTTTCATTTTCATAATTTACATACAAAAATCTAATTATTCATATTATTTTATGTAAACATATTTTATTAATTTTTTCACATCCCTGCATCGTACGGGTGTTCACTAGTACATATTAATGCAATAATTATATATACATATATACATATATATATAAGATTCATTATGGCCTGTTTGGATAGTTGTTTTTTAGTTTTTTTTTTTGGATTAAAATAGTTAATAAAGATAAGATAGACTAAAATAGTCAAAAAGATAAAATATCACATTCAATCCATAATTATTTAATTTTTTCTTCCGTTACTCATCAAATCAACTATAAAAAACTATTAAAAAAAAAACATTGGGTTCTGGTTTTCATAAAACAATTTTCAGAAAATTTTACTTTTTTATTTTTCATATTTTAATGTTTTCAAAGAATTTTTTAAATATTTTAAGTAATTTTTTAAAAATTTTTAGACACACCTAATATAAATACACTTAAAAAGTATAATATTTGTAAAAAAAATTTTTTAACAAATACACTAAATACCAAAAAATAAAAAAATAATAAAAAAATTCAGTACATTTTTTTAAATATTTTTGCGTATTTATTAAATTTTAAAAATATTTTTTCACAAATATGGGTTATTTTTTGATACATCTAAGTAAGGTGTATCTAAAAATATAAAAAAAAATACTTAAAATTTAAAAAATATTCACTAAAAAAAAGACTTCAGAAAACTGAAACCAAAACTATATTTTCAAATAATACAACTATTTTAGCCAAGCTAAAATAGTCAAAAATAAAAATAAAAACAAATAATCAAATAATCAACTTTTCAAGTAAGGCCTATGTTTTAAAAAAATATTTTTTTTTAAAATACTTTTTCGTCCTTAAACTTTCAATCAAATTTTATTATGGCCTTTTTAAAGTTACAATTAAAATTCAACTTATATTTTAATGTTTGTTTTTTCGTCACTTAATAATAAAAATTAAATAATAAGTGTTCAGGCATAGACCACTGAACACAGTAAAAAGTTTATATGGCTAAATACATTCTGGGAGAAGTATATGTAAATGGGAGTTAGAGAAAAATATTACCAATCCATAGAGGAGTGCAACTTTCATAATTTTTCATTTCCATCCCAGGTAAACTTGCACTCCTCATGTACTAGTAATTTTTTCCGCGTTTTTCTGGACGAGCGCGGGTAAAGAAACTAGTCCAAGACTATAGGTTTAGGATAGCCACTTGGAACATAGGAACCTTAACTGGTAAGACGATGGAATTGGTAGATGTTATGATTAGGAGGAGAGTTAGTATAGCTTGCATACAAGAAACTAAGTGGACGGGAGAGAAAGCTAGGGAAATTGAGGATACTGGTTTTAAACTTTATTGTAGTGGTAAGGATAGACGCAGGAATGGGGTAGGAATCATAATTGCCAAGGGTCTTGTGGAAAGTGTGGTGGCGGTCATTAGGAAAGGAGATAGGATTATGCTAGTTAAACTAGTTATTGGAGGGAATATAGTGAACATTATTAGCGCTTACGCCCCTCAAGTAGGGTTAGATGATCAGACTAAAAGGGATTTTTGGGAGCAAATGGATGAGATCTTACAAGA